GCTGTATTACAATACTATTGTAAGACCATCGAATTACAAATTGAATCGGATGTGATGTCAAATCAACTCGTTTAAAAATAGATTAAAAATGTTCGCTCATATGGCGTTTTCTTTTGTACTTTTCTTGAATTTAGAACTTTCTTAACTTTTGTACGTATTGACCATTTTTGTGCATTGATTTGTTCGATTTAATTGCCTGTTTTATATATCAGTGTGCTGCTGGTAAGGATTTGACGGTTAAAATAAAGGTTGAGCACAAATATATCCGGCCACATTCAGCCAAATTTTTCAAAATTTCACAATGTTGTCAGGATAAGCTCATTTGTTTACATCATGGCTTCACCAGAGAGCACGTCGCGATTCAATCTTGCACGCTCGAAATGAAAATCCCGGTCTTTCCGCTCCTGGCAGTCTTCGATCAAATTCATGGGCAGGAATTTTACACCTCGGTTGACCGAAAAAGTGCTCCGAAAGAATGTAAAATCAAAAAAAGAAGTTGAAATTCCCCAAAAAGTTCCTTGAACCAGCAAATTTACCAAGAGGAGTGCCTACGGAAGTGTGACTACTGTCTTTTCTGGAGCAACTTGAGGTGGATTACCTATTCTGGCCGGACTTAGCAAACTGCCACTACTCAAATTCCACCAAATAGTGGTACAGCAAAAATGGCGTCACAGTGGTTTCCAAGGAGATGAATCCGGTCAATACTCTGGAACTGAGGCCAATTGAGGAATACTGGTAAATTGTGAAGCAAATACTGAAGCAAAGGAATGGAGCTGGAGAATTTCAAGCGTAAATGGAATTTGGCAGCCAAACAAGTGGGAACAGGGCTCGTGCAAAAGTCTATGGGCCGTGTACGAAAAAAAGTACGAGCAATAGCCAATGGTAAGAAAGAAGACCGGAACAATGGTCTTACAATAATTATGCTACTAATGATAGCTGTTACATTGAACTATGATTTTCGTGTCCGGATTTTTTCGTGTTCAACCTTTATGTATAGGTTCCCCTTAAACATTCCACCTAATTTCCCTTTTGGCTGATGTACGGCAAGTATAAATCTCGGAAACCCTATATTAACCTAAAACTGCAAAAACGACAATAACGGGCATGACCGATTCTAATCATGGTCTCCATCAGTAGTCCATTATTTAACGTAATTAATATTTCATTATTGGTTGAAACTATTGGTACAAATTAACATGCAATTTGTATAAAAAGTATATTCCAACTTTAAACCACAAAATTCTCATATTGCCAATGCTAGAACTGAAAAGTATCGAGCTCCATCTGCCAGCACAGGTGGCCTTGGCTCAGCCCTCATTCCAGTCCCAATCTCCCCACCATCACCTACTTTGATTGCGCTGGTGGTTGCTCGGTTAGAATCGTCACATGTGCACCACGTTCATATTCAACGACCCTTTGGTGAACCTTCCTTTCTCCTACCAGTAATGATTGGCACGTAGTCCGGAACTCGTTTAAAGATACGACCGCCAGCCCTCCTGGCACTGTCCGTCCTAGGAACGATGCGAGTAAAAAAAAACTTTTGTCCATCCACCCATCGCTTATCGTCTCACACTGCCCACCGACATCATCAAACTTTTTTTTCCCCTGACACGACTTCCTCTGCCGGCTTTCTTCCAGCCAGCCAACAGCGGCAGACCGTCAGTGTCGTCCGATTTCTTCCCGTGCAGCAGCAGCTCAAGAACGGGAGCGAGCTTCCTGAGGCTAACCACATATTTCCTTGTGGAAAAGCAGCCCCCGGCTCGCTACCAAGCAAAAGCACAAGGCAAGGAAAACTTCAACTCTTTAGGAAAGAATTTTCTTGTTTTTAACTTTACCCCCGCACGGTCCCTCTTTTCCATCTTTCTCCTTCGGCTGCAGGGTGGGGACAAGCGTCCGATTCGCTTGTCAAAAAGCGAATCCAAGTAAGCTATGCGGTGGGTGAGAGTTTTCCATTTTATTATTTTTTTTTTCTCTGTATTTTGGTGAAATAGTTTCGAATTTTTCCATCTATTTTATTTACTGGGCCCGGACCGCCGATGGATTTTTGCTGACTACGCGATGGACTTTCCCAACTCCCAGCAATATTTGTTTTTTACGGGAAGAAAGGAAGTTCGTGGGCTGGTGGAATGTGTTTGGTGGACAATTTTGCTTCCGATTTCGAAAGTTTCCTGGAAACGGAATCAAGCGCTCATTCGTTCATAATTTATTTCGACAATTATTCGCTGAATTTGTCATTTTTTTTCAGGGTGCTTTGTTTACACGCCCCCACAGTAGGTAGGCACAGGAAAGAGAATAAGAGATTTTTTTAATCTTGGCTGTCGGCGCAGGGCAAATGTTTGTCTTACTCTTTTGTTGTCGATTTGTGACTTTTTTTTTCAAGAGTCCCTAAAATATGGAATGGTAAAGCGCAGATTGAAAAGGAAGAGAAAGCAAGCCTTGGAAAATTGGGTACCCAATGCGAATAAATTATTAAGCAAAGTGGACACAAGGCGCATGGAGGCCTTTGTTTGGTTTTCACGAACTGGGAATTAATTGCTTTATTTTTTTATTTTTGCAATGCACAGCACCCGTAATGAAGATTACTGTTAATAGAAAAGGAGGTTTCTCAGGTTTGCTGCGTTACTTGGATGACTTTTAAATTTGTTGGGTTCAGTTTTAGATTTTTGTGGCACTTCTTAGAACTTTAATTTAGTCGATATTAATTTTTGGGTTGTTTTTAAGCAACATCCGGACTTATTATAAACATAATATAAATTAAATGCTGAAAAGTATATACGTCGATATCAACCAGCTTAGGGCGCAATTTTCTTTGATGAATTTCTGAAAAATCCAAAAGCAATCCAAGCTCGCGACATTTTGTGTAAAATAGCAGAAGGAATAGAATGACGTGAGCTTTTGTAATATTAAATTTTGAATTTATCGAAAATGCTTCAAAGTAAGTTGAACCTTAATGTTTTCCCGTCTACATTACGTACATATGTTCAAGGGTCAAGGGTAAACATATGTGAAAACTGAATTTCATTTGTTTTGGGTCGTAATTGACTACTTTGGAATAGAATATATAAGAGATGGATTTCAATTAAACTTGAATCCAATTTGCATCAAAAAGTTTAATGAACCAACAAGGTAAACAAAATTGTCATTAGTCACTCCCCCGGATAGATATGAACACATTTATTTATTTTATTGTTACCCCAACTGGGGAGTTTGGTAAAATAGATGATCAACCCGATTCGTACCTTCCTCAAAGTTGACCTTTGCTCGCTTTCTACTCTCTATTTACAATTTTTGCACCCCCGTACTCTAACGGAACTATCAACTCAACTCAACCGTCTTCTCCTCATCGATTGTAATGATCACTTTAAGTCTGATTTTTAACGAAAAGTATCTCCAACTATATATTGTTATAATTTTTGCATTAGTTACAGCAAATATTGTAAACAAAATTAAAAAAAAAACAAAACAAAATTGCGTTTTTCTTGGTAAACCTGTACTAATGTTTAAACCACGTTGATATTTCATTTAATTTTATTACCATTCGTTTCAATTTTTAAATCGATGTTGGTCGTACAGAAAACTATCGAGAGGTGCTTAGATGATAGGTTTTCTTTGAAATGTTTAAAAAATTCTACTGCCTTAAGATTCATAATATTTTTTTTTTGTTTATCAATTTCAAATATCAGAACCTAAATATCGCTTTATAGCTTAAGGGAAAAGTTACCAACTCGAAAAATTTCGATTTTGTTAATGTTGGAAATTTTATAAAAATCAAAACGTGCTAGATTTTTTTTTCAGTCGGTAAGCTTCCTCTTAATTTAATAATTATTTTGTTTTCTAAGCAACAGGATATGTTTTGAGTGGTCTTCAATTTGAAAAAAATGTATTAATTATTCAGGATTACTTGTTTTTTTTTAATTATTCAGGATTACTTGTTTTCAAACTTATTTTTTTAAGAAAGTTCATAGTGTATTCCTCTGAAAAAAAAAATACTCCTAAGCACTATTTGATGTATCAAACGATGTCAGTTTATTAGCATCATCATTTTAATTGGATCGCATTTTCCTGAGGCATTCATCTCATTGTAAAATTTCATTATTTACCACTAAAGTTGTGCTACATTGTTAAAAACATGCGAATCACTTAAATACTACGAACCTAAAAGCCGTAGCATCTGTCGCAAAACCTGAATTGTATTCGCACTACCGAATGGCTTCCATTTACTGAAGCCGTTCTACCAATTCACTCAAAATTCGATTAAACGTTCGCTTTATCAGCCCCCGGTGCGGAGTAAATTGAGCTCAAATGAGCACAGCATTTCCCCAGCATAACTGATTCAGAGCATGGCAGCCCAGTCTACCATCTGGACCACATTCATTAAATCATTTTCGAAACACCACTTATGTTGCCCGTAACCTACGGATCTGTGTTGGGAATTCTGCCGAAGTATTTCAAAAACCCCGAATCAAATTACTTCCTCGTAGGTGAATTTCATATTCAGATCCAACCACAACATCCTCCTTCGGGCAGCAAATTACCCTCGACAATACCGGTCGCCATCGAACTAGATTGGCAGATAGGTACACAATTCAATTCAAATTAAACCATGTCTACGGGCAAACCGTTCCTCTGCAAATCTGTGCCAGAAGAGCGAGAAAAAAACCCAGATGTCATGACATTGTCAAATTCAGCCGAAATCACTTGAATTATTCACCGAAGAACGTTAACAAGTTCATTCCAGGCCACCACACCGCCAGTCTGAGTATGCCTGAGCGAAAGCAATCGCAGCAACGCTCGATTCCAAGTAATACGACATAGTAGGCAAACCATCTGGTTCGCTTCTCTGTGGAAACGACATCCACACAGCCTGCTGCACCACCCTCCTGCTACTTTGCTTCATGCAAAAACCTCATCCAAAACCAACAATCAAGGAAGGCGAGACTTTAAGACACAATTTGTTAGTATATTGTAAACAGAATTATAGATATTGGTCAAACACTCACTTTCTGATTAGGCTTGCACATTAATCCTCGCTAAGATGAGGCGCGCACATACAGACACAATTCATTCCTCCAGCCCGGTTGCTCCTGCTGCTACTGCTACTCTTAAAGTTTCTCCTACTTTTGTACTTTTTCCGTGCTGTTTTATTTTTTTTTTCGGAATTTACCTCACAGTTCAGAACACTCGGTGCGGGTGCTGATAACACGTACGCTCTTACTCTTCTTCGTTCTTCGCCTTTTTAGGGTTTTGCCAATTTTCACAAATCTCACAAGTTTTTCCCTGCTTCTTCACGATGGGGGCGCGCTATCATTTTCTTCGGTTTTCGCCCTTATCTACACAGCCCCATCACACGCCCGGGAGATCCTTTGCATCTCCGTTCTCCTCACCGTCGTCAGTAGCCGCCTGAGGGAGCACTAATCACTTATCGCGTATCGATCACACTCGGAATTCACCGAAGCAGAGAGTACACCTCAGTTGACATTAAATAATCATTGCCTAGGCCCACTTGGATTCATCTCGTTCGTTCGGTTTGGCACTGCTCCTCAGCACTCACTCTGCTCACGAACTTTCTGCCTTCCTTCGCTTTTCTTCACGCCAAGGAGGCACAATTTTCATTGATTTTCGGGCTGTTTTGCTCCTGGCACACTGTGTTTTTCATTATAACACACAAACTCACACTTTTCTGGCTCCTAGGAGCCTCCGCCTGAGTGCGCTGGTATGTTCTTTTCTTCGCCCTCCTCCGTACACTTTATGAATGAACACCAGTGCAGGCTGGGAAACTCTACGCGGAAAAGCACTAGGAACACAAGGATGGTAGCGCAACAAACCGAATCAGAATCAAAACGTACGCGAACGCGAACCGCGGATTGCCGAGGAAAAAAACAGAGACTTAATGCTGCTGTTTTGTGCTCATGATTTCTATGCTGCTGCTGCTAGTTCTTTCATTGGGCGGCACAAAACAAGAAACGACATAAAACACACACGAGCCTCACACACGATTACGGAGCAGTCGAGACTTTTGCCTTCCACACTCGGGAAGTGTACGATGCAAACTAAATAAAGCACGAAGCGAGTGAAAATAAACAGCGAAAGGAGACGTTCGCCTTAAGATTTTCGATCGGCTTGAGAACGCGAGAGGCGACACGACGAGAGCATATTTTCGCCCACTTCTCACCCAAACATAGCAGGCTATGCTGCTGCACAGAGCTATGTAGCTGGGCGCCCTATCAGGCGAAACGTTCTCTTTTGCAGTGGGTGATAAAATAACGAACTCTCCCGCATTGATTGCTGAGAGCGTTCTAGGCAAGAGCGAGAGAAAGAGAGCACAAGTGAGTCATTCGTATTTTCGCCCGCAGCGTTCGGCTCGCTCTCGGCCCACATTCGGCTACCGCAGCTGAACGGTGAAAATTCTCTCACGCCGCCGCTGGGAAATCAATTTTCTAATAAAACACACATTTATGTTCGATTGAGATTTTTCCTTCTGCAGCATTTTACGAAAAATTGCAAATCGTCGGCGAGCTGTGATTGATATTTTTTGCATCAACATACAAGAGTTTTATTCAGAAAAATCAGTGGAACAGTAGTTTCCATCGCTCCGAAATCGCTCAAATTGTGTCAAATTTTATCCTACATTTTCCAAATCCCCAAGTTGCCTTTGGTTCGTCCTTTCTTTCCTCAACCTCCTTTCTCCCTGCCAACCGCTCCCGTCTTACTCATTTTTCACCAGAATCGAGTCTTCCTGTGTCGAGGCGAAAATTCCTTCATGCGAGCGATTCATTTTCATGAAAATCTGCCATTCTCAGTCGAAGAAGCCAGGAAAAATATTGCCACTCACACACAGAAAAAAAGCGACGCACATTCACTCCTACACAGTTCCACACAGACACGCAGAAGACAGACTGTGCTGAGAGCGGATTGTGAAAAATCCCTCTAATCGTAGCATCCCGACGGTGACGACGAGTACGCTTTTGACTCCCTCGACTTGTCCCGTGTTTCTTTGTGTGTGTGACCCACACACACACATACACGTGCACGTAATGACTCTATGCGATGAGAAAACTCTGCGGGGCGATTTTCCTATTGTCCGTTCCATTCCGTCCTGAACCGTCTCCACGTCTAGGCAAGGGAGGAAAAGCGAAAATCCTCAAGTGTTAACTGCACAAATCTCTCTTTGCTTCTCTCCTCGACGTGGCCGTCTTGGTCGGTTGTCTTTGCTATACCTAAAATTGCCCAAGGAGGCATCAAAGGAGCTCGTTGAAAAAAAAAAGAATCTACCTACCGACTACTTGGATCGCGCGACTGAAGCGGCAGCAGCAGAGAGGCTTAGAGATCTTTTCCGAGTCAAAAGGTAAACCCAGTAGTCGGTTGATGATGATGCTGATGCTGATGCCGGCGATGATGATGATGATGATGGTGATGATGTCCTGTGTCCTGCTCCCGGTGGTGGCGCGAGGGATGGGAGGAATTTTTCTTTATATATTTTTTTTTTGGCGAATGGGAGAAGAACGGAAAGAGGAAGTAGCCCCCGGAGGTGTTTTACAGACTAAGCCAACCATAGACAGACGGTGAGTGAACTGCGAGGACGAGGAAGATGTGCGCTCGGTTGCGGGAAAGTTTTATTTTGATATCATTCTCGTCCTATCACTGACTCGGGCTCCGTTCGCTCGCTGTTGGGGATGGACGGTTCTCAAATCGACCGAGAGGAATTTTTGAATTTTTTATTTGTGGATTAAAAATTAACTTTGACTACTGGTTTTACTAGCTCGTTTTGTGTTATTGTTCTCGAAATTACAGCTTATTGGCCGTGGCTTGATGGGCAGGGTGATTGGAGGGTATCCTGTATTTAACATTTGCAACACCGATCAATTAGCTTTTGGAATTGATATTCTGGTGAATGAAATGGATGTTGCATTTTAACAGTGATGGTTGAAATTGGTATTTCAGTTTAAGAATGCTATATGGATGTTGTGATCAATTATTGAATATATTGAATAGCCACTAACATTATAAATATGTATGGTTTTGTAAGCGATTGAACAATAAATCGTATGCTGAGATGTTTTGCGAAGATTTGGTACTAAACTAATAAGATTGCGGTTCAATTACCGAGAGACTATATTTTTTTAATTCCGTAGGTTAAAAAAAATCAATGTTTGCTTTGGTTCTGCAACTCAAGCTTTAAGCTAAGACTGTGTTCCAATTGATGAATTTTCACCTAAAAAATGACCGACAAGGAATCAATATTGACACACACCTACTCGAAAATCAGTCGATCAGCAACAATAGAGCGAACAGAACAATTAATTTTGCCATGTTAATTTTAAGTGAAGTTTCACCAAATGACACAAAAACACACTTAAAAAAATTTCATGTAAATTTAGGTGCTCTGAGTCTTACATATGGGTCATTACAAGTGGGTACAGAATTTAAAAAAAGTTGTGGTCGATGGCACCGATTTGAGCCAAACTTGGCCAAAACGCTTATTTTGGCATTCTGAACAAACACTTTTTTTTATTTTGCTCTTAAGTGTCTTGATCCTTCTGGGCTACAACCCTGGTTTTTCGAGATTTTTAAAAATTTCAACTTTCAGAAGAGATTTCTCCTCAACCAAATATGCTATTCGTGAATTTGAAGGTTTTTTTAATGTAAGTTCAAACAGGTTTACACACATTCTGTTTTTGTTATAGTAACTACAATATCAAAATTGTTAAAAAATTACCTATTTTCACCATGGGCGGAATTTTTCAATTCTTAATTATTATTATTTAACTTTATTAATGAGGCTTTCAGTCTTGGGCTGGTTCGCCTCCAGGTAACTTCAATTCTTAATATATTTTTGCACAAATTTTCACCACACTTTGGAAAACTCTTCTACTAGATGTAGTTTTTGAGATATGACCAGATGAGTGAGTGGTAGCTTTAAGCTTTTCTTGTGGAAAATCAATGCTATTTTTTTTTCTTGAATTCCTTCATGCCGATGGCACAATAATATTGTTATGTTATTTTTAACCCTGTCTATGATTTTTTTTCTAAGCATCTGAGTGAAAAAAAAAAATGCGAAGCTTCCAGTAAAATCTCAAGTCAAACCCTGAAGTTTAAAATTCTCTGAACATCTTCGAAGTGCCTTGAACTTATAAAAAAATCCCAACACTTCTACCAAATTTTTTCAAAGTTCTTTGAGCTTCGACAAAGTTCTCTGATTTTCTATTAAAATCGCTGCACTTCTAAAAAGTTCTCTGATTTTTTAGAATTTAGTTGATTTTCGCGAAGTTCTTTGAAGTCCTAGTAAAGTTTCCTGACTGTCCACGGAATTTGTTAATGAAGGTCAATTAAACTTTTATGAAGTACCCTGAAGTTTAATTTTTTTTATAAGTTTCTTAAAATGAAACAAAGTGTTCTAAACTGCATCGAAGATTCTCAATCTTGTACAAGGTTCCCAGTTCTACAAGGTTTTCCAAGAATGTTTACAAAGCACTCTGAATTTGAATTACAAAGCACTCTGAGCCTACCCAAATAAAAGAACTAGATAAAAAATAAAAAATAAAATCTGTGAAGCTCTATGAAGATCCCGGAATTAATATAAAATTTTCTCTCAGTTGAACAAAATCCTTGAAGTTTTAAAAAGTCTAATGAACTGTTAGAAAAATCTCTGAGCTTCATTGAAGCTACCCTTCTACAAAATTCAGATATATCTGAAGAATGGTAGGATAGTTCTTACCCATACAATTGACTCTCGGTCCGGATCCTATGGTCACCCTGACTATTTCTTTTGGACTTCTGTAGAGGTTCATCCCCCAGAAGGCATAAGGACAAAGAGAGTCTCGTCAATAATACAATCTCTTATTATGATTGGGGACAATTTCGCTGGAAAATAACACTGACAAAAAATCCCTTTCTCCCTTACTTTGAAGTAAACAAAGAAGTCAACCTTGGCAACGATTAGCAAAGTATCAGCACAAAACAGTGATGCCGTTTTATATTATATTTGGTGTCATACTTGCCATCGTGGGCCATGACGTGCCGATCAGTGTGCCACAATGTGTTTCGACACAGTGTGCAGAGTTGATTACCCCTTGATGGCGTAACTAAATGCTTGTTAGCAAAGCGGTGGCTTCCCGGAAGATAAGATCTTGAAATTTCTCCAAAGCTCTCGGAGCTTATCTCAAGCTCTTGGAACTTCGCGAAAGTGTTATGAGCTTTGCTTGATTAAGTGATGCGAACTGTGCTGAAATATAAGACACTTTACTGATATTTTTGAAACTTCGTTGAAATTTTTTGAATTTCACTGAAATTTTCGGAGCTTATTTTAAGCTGTTCATGCTTCGATGAAGCTTCGCAAAATTTATTGAAACTTTACTGAACATATTTGAACATTGAAGAAGATTTTCGAAATTTTTGTTAAGCTATAAGAACTTTGATGATGTTTCTGAAACATTGCTAAAATTTTTGAAATTTTTCTGATGTGTTTGGATCTTTGCAGACATGTTTGATTCTTTGCTGAAGTTTTTGGAACTTTGCTGACGCTCTTGAATCATAGCTGAATTTTTTTGGTGCTAACCACAAGTGTTTGAACGTCTCCAAAATACTCGGTTTATCTCTGAATTTCTCCGAGCTTATCTCAAGTTCTTAGATCTACGCTGTTTTGAATTTTGCTGAAATTTAAGGATCTTCGCTGATTTTTTTTTTAGGCTTTGGTGAAGTTTCCGAAACTTTGGAGCTTTTTCTCAACTCTTCAGATTTCGCTTAAGCTCTTGAACCTTCACTGAATTTAGAGGATCTTTGCTTAACATATTTAAACTTTGGTGACAATATACGAACTTGGCTAAACTGTTGCTAACAACTCTGAAATTTTTGTAACTTCGGAAGTTTTTGGAACTTTGATGTCATTTTGGAACTTTGTTGACGATTTTGGGATTTCGCTTAATTTTTTGAACTTTCCTTGAAGATTCGAGCTTATCATGGGAATTCAAACACTATGATTATTTCAGCTGAACAGCTGAACATTCGGTAAACAGCTCGGCGTTTTTCACAGTTTTCCTGTAATTTTTCACAGAAT